CCCCAACCGCATCATTGTTGGAATCCTTAAGATTAGCTGCAGGTGCTTGTGCCTTTTTAGCTTTGTTTGACCGAGCGTTCTTCTGGACAGTTGTGTCCTCTTTCTCCATAGGCTGTTCATCCCATTTTACTCCCTTTTCCTTAATAAGCTTGGCCTCATACCCTAGTGCCCAGACTACTGGTTCATTGCCTTGGATCGTCTCCGTAGTTTCCGCATTGGATTCTCCTGTACGGGTGCCAGAAAATCCGGCATCGAAGAGGGTAGCCATTATAGTAAACTTATGGCAGCGGAAATGCTGAGCGTGACGAAATATATGTAATTGTACAAGTCTGAACTTGGCAATGACACGGGAATTATTGGTCAATTGTAAGTAATAGGGAAAGGGAGAGAGTAGAAAGGTAAGCAGTTTAGTGTAGAGTGGGAAGTGGTAGACGAAAGAGAAAGAGAGGGATAAAAAGAAGAGGAAGAGGAGAAAAGGAGAGAGAGGAGATGGGAGAGAGAGAGAAAGAAGAAGAGGGAGAAGAAGAGGGAGAAGAAGAGGGAGATAAGAGAGAGAGAGAAAGAAGAGAGAGAAGAAGAGAGAGAGAGAGAGAGAGGGAGAAAAGAAGGTAAGCAGTTTGGTGTTGTGGAAGTGGGAAAGAAAATGTGTACGCAGCTTGAGAGAGAATGGCTGGTGATGTGGGTGTAGAGAATAAGGAAAAGAATTTGTAGGAGGGAACAGAAGGGAATTTATAGATTTCAGGTATTTTCCAATAAAAAATATTTGTGCTCTGGGAAAATGATATCATCCCGAGACTTGTATTTACCTATTATGCGCTGGTATTATACGGAGAATTCGCGGAATTCGCGGAACTGCAAAACCCTAGGGTAGAAGAATGCTGAGCGTCGGTATGGTATTCACCATGGAGGTTGCCGACAGTTTCCTTTATGTCTTGTTGCAAGCATATAGCACTTTCCAAAGCAAGAGGAAGCTCTGCTGTGGATTTTGCTGCTGATATATGTATCTGGCTAAAAATACGAACAACCCTCTACCCCTTTTGGGATTTGGACCCAGGTGCTTTTACAACATTTTTTTTTTGATAAGTCTGCTCTAGATGAGATACTCCTGATCTATATTATCAGGAGTGATCAGTTGATGTGACACTGTTAGATTCACAAAACTACGAACACAACGATCCAATCTAGAATCTGCAACGTTATACCAACCCTGGGAGATCGTATAAAAAGGTCAGAAACCAGGAACAGTACAGATTTCGACATATTAAATATATGGTTGTAGTGTGAACTTTGTGCACAAAACGATGTAGTGGTGATATGTAACATGTAAAGACTACGGCTCGGTTGATCAGAGACCAGGTAGGCTCGACCGGAGCAATGTTGACATCGGAGGTCCGAGTTGTGGGCCTTAGACCGGGCCCGAGTCCGTTCATCCGGGGCCGGGCTGATTTTCACGAACACGTTCCGTGAATTAAGCGGATCCACACCACGATGCTGATATACTCACCTATCTGTACAATTATCCCTATTTTGCAGTGCACATTGTTAAGATAAGGGTTGTCACGTTAGAAATTTTGCCCGTGAATTGTCATTAATAAATACCTAGGTACTTAGGCAGTTGTATATCTACATAGGTGGGTAGGTAGGTATTTAATGGAGCACTGAATTTTCAAATTACAGAGCATTGATAGCCTTAAAACTATACAAAGATATCAACAAATTAGGGTACAACTAGGTATTAAGACAAACATTATGTTTTGTGTAGGTATATGCCTTTATTTCTATTTTTAAATACACGTGGCTACATATACCCCTTCAGGTAAAACTTCTTTAGTAAACGCCAAAACCAGCTACTATTCAGTTGTTTCTTAGCAAAATAAAATTCAGATTGGATAGGGCTCCATTGTTTCAAGGCTTTGCTAGACCCTGATATTATGAATGCAACATTTGCAAGAAGAAAAGGGAGGTTGGTAAATTACAAAGTGTAGGTATATATATCTTGACCTGTAGGGATGAATCCTACCCTAACCTGAGTATCCATGGCAACGAAATCTCAAATATGTACCTACTACTACAAAAGTTTCGTAGGACTTGATGTTACTAGGGTAGAAGTATCATAGAAGACTTAGGGTTAGCAGGAAAATCCGTTTCTAAAAAGGTTATTGTATTAGGTTAATACGAAGGAGAGGCGGGGTACAAAGCAGCCTTGGATGCATGCCTAAGATTCAAGGGCGTAGGATATGTTATTTGTATTTCAAGCCCCTTCCCCTCTCTCTCCGTCTTCCTACTTGTCTTCTTTTCCCTTATATTCTAAGCCATCGTCTCACTGATCCACTAGAGGTAGGGATTTAAAACAATTCGCCACCACATAAATCACAAAACCATAGGATTTTGATGTATCATAAAGATCCAAAACTACTAATTCTTATTATTACACTTCTTTCTATATAAACAAGTTGATCTAACACGCTACGCGGTCACTGTCTAAATCGATATCCGCTACGGGTACAAATTTGGTCCGGAGCACCACTTTATGCCCTACATAGAGGACAACAAACAAAATCAGGCTTATGTAGGCACCAAAGAAATCACTGGTGTTCCACTCGATAAAGACGGTAAACCCATTCGTTAACGAGATCAAGATGCAGAAGAAAAGGCCAAAGATGGCCAAGTAAGGCTGCATTGGAGCCTTGAAAGGTAGGTTGTCCCTCGAGAGACCACGGTGCTTGAGCGCTTTCATGAACCGAAGGTGGCATATGTTGATGCAGGACCAGGTAATGAACCCAGCGATACCGGTAATATTCAGCAGCCAGTTAAACACTTCACCACCGCTCTGAGACAAGTTGAGGAACGAGAGCAAGCCGATTGCGGACGTAGCAAGGACAGCAACATAAGGGGTCCCAAACCTATTTGTTCGTGTTAGGATTTGGGGCGCGTTGTTTTCGCTGGCCAGTGCCATCAAAATTCGACTTCCAGAGTATACATTCGAGTTTGCGGCGGAGAGCACAGCAGTTAGGAGAACGCCATTGATAATATGAGGGAGGACGGGAACCCCGGCTAGCTTGGCAGCAATAACAAGCGGCGACGCAGAGGCATTCGTCGAGCCGATAAGGAGGTCGGGGTTATCGGAGGGCACGGTAAGGCCGATGAAGAAGATGACACCGACAAACAGTGACACGATTCCCCAGAAGGTCCATCGGATAGCTGAGGGGACACTCTTGGTGGGATCGGCTGTCTCACCAGCACCGACACCAACAAGTTCTGCGCCCTGATACGAGAACCCGGCCGTGACAAGGACAGACCAGAATCCAACAAACCTTCCAACATCCCCGGACACCACAGACGCGTTGAAGGGACCAGGCACAACCCATGCGTGGAAGCCAAGATAGCCTTGTTCGCCGACACCGGCGTCAATGCAGATGGCGAAGATGATGAACCCGATGATGGTTACCACTTTGATGGACGAGAACCACATTTCGAATTCTCCGAACCAGCGAATAGGGAGAAAGTTGACAGCGGTGAAAACGACCCAGAATACAGCAATAAAGATACCGATGTTAAGGCTGGAATTCCAGTACTGGATGATGACGCCGGAACCGACGAGCTCCAGGGCAAAAGTGGTCGCCCAGCTGAACCAGTATATCCAACCCATGGCAAATCCGAGCGAGCGGTCGACGAAACGGGAGGCGTAGACGGTGAAGGAGCCAGCGACGGGGATGAAGGTTGCCATTTCGCCCAAGCTCGCCATGACAGAATAGACAATAGTGCCGACAAAGATGTAGGCGATGAGACAGCCGACCGGACCAGCTGTGGCCAGCGCCTCACCACTCCCCAGGAACAAACCGGTGCCGATTGTCCCTCCTATGGCGAGGAACTGCAGATGGTAGCTATGGAGGCCACGATGTAGCTGGTCGTGGCCGGCCTCGATATCCTGCTGAGAGCCATCGAGCGAGTGATTGACCTCTGCTGCCTTCTTCTCCCCTTGGAAATTCTTCTCGCTTGGGGGGACGATACCCTCCATCGTGCCTGGGGGGTTTTATCCCTCACTTTTCTCCGTCTCGCCTTTTCAAATTGAGGGATATGTGCTTCGACTTAGAGGAAGAGGGAGAGGAGGTGACTGACTATCGACCAGGTCGAAGCTCGTGAAAGAGAAGAATGGGGAGAAGGAGAAAGGAGGGGGAGGGGGAAGGAGGAGGAGTAGGATGATGATGATGATGATGATATTAGTGAGTCAACAACCACTCGCCTTATTCATTCGCGTCTAAATGCAATCTGTTACGCAAACAGGCTGGGCAACAAACCAAGACCCGTTCCTCCAGACACATTATAAATAGTTTGAGGGATGGACTGCAGACTAGTCTGCACAGGTTCCCCATACAATGATGTAAAAAATTCTCCAAAGAAGATCGATAGCCGCCCCCCATAGTATCGTGAGATACATGGCATTCCCAGGGGGTTAGGGCTGTACCTGCCAAGATGGGTCAGTCGGATCTACCGAAGCATCTCACGATCCGGCTGGGCCCGTCCAAGTTCGTTGCCTCTTTGCCTTCGGGTGGTATTAGAAAATTCAGAAATAATAGAAATAAGCAATACAAAATGCCCGGGTTGAAAAGTTTTCCTCTTCCTTCTTCCTGACTCTCGTGTGTCCGGCGTATTCCCCCCCTGGTCGCCTCCGTTGACCAACCAGACGCAGTCTTTGACTAAGAAATTACCGTTGTTGGCAAGGCGGCCCGAATGTAAAGGAGGGCCGTTCGCCTAGACCCTCCGACTAACACGGAAGACTAACCTAGGAAGCAGGGGTCGTATGTAAGTCTCTCTGCGGTAATGTTATCTGTCTGTCCTGAGGAACCAGTTAGCATAGCCTTTTACTAAGACCATCAATCATCGTCAGCCTCTCTTTTATTTCAATGTTCTCTCTAACATAAGACTCAATAACCCAAGTCTCAAGCCAGCAACTCCACTTGTGAGCCGCAAAGACAACTCAAAGTGCCTCATCGTATCCATCTCGATTGGTCTAGTGGTCAGGATACCTGCTTGTCATCGGTACAAACCGCAGGTGGCCGGGGTTCGATTCCCCGATCGAGAGCGCATGGTAACATTTTCTTAAAAATTTTTGTTATTCCCCCGTGACGATCTTCAGTTTTTTCGAGAAGGTCTTGCCGTCCTTCGTCTTTCATCCTTCGACTTGGACTAGTGTGTATGCATGCACATGGCACGATACAGTTAGGTATAGTTACAGTTATAGTTCGAAGTCTGGTCCTTATTGTGGATATCAATACGCAATACATACTACAAAACCACACACCACGCGCGCATATTCGTCAAATAACGTTGTTGCGTACGTGCGTGTGTACTATGTCATAACTTATTGTTATTACGACCTGAAGCACTGTCGATCTTCCTTTTTAGTTTTCCCTCCGCATCGCCTAGGTATGGACCTACCTACCTAGTTTCCATAGCTGAGCAGGCAAGGCGCATTCGGATTTCGGAGCTGGTTACCAGATTCTGTGTGCCATCATCGTCAGTTTCAATTGCAGCCGCTTCACCGAATCCTCAAAGGGTTACTTACCCCAGGTCCAGTTATTCTCACTTCCTCGTTCATCACAATTACACTTTGTATTCACAATCCATTCTGAGAGAGATAGGATGCTAACTAAACTATGACTACAACTACCTAGTGACACTATTCCCGGTGGACTACCTACCTAACTAACATAGTGGAACTTTGCTGATCTCGTATGTCTGGTACATCTCATCCCCTCCACCCGTCTATAACCGCGCTCCAGCACGCACAGATATCCCCACATGTTCTCGACAGGCTTTCTCCAGCATTTCCAGGATTTCCAGCATCTCGGGGCCCAAACGCAGAAGAAGTTGGTAGTAGAGTATGCGAGAAGATTTAATAGGAAAGCTGCCAGAACCTACGCTGGTCCCCTTACGACTATATACATTGTGCGAGCCTGTCACATGCACCACTCCTTTATGCCCGAGAATAAGTTAATACATACCACCGAGAAGGATAACATTCCCCACCGTTTCCACTACTACCCCTCGTTGGTGATCACTGCGTCGCGCAATGATCCCCGCACGCGGGGAGGGAGGGCTCGTAGATGTCTAGTATTTACGACTACCCGGCAGAGTATCGTGGACGATATTGTCGTTGGAAATAGTTATGTTGACTTACATGGTGATAAGGAGGACCTGGTAGCCTGAGGGTCACACGCCCTATATATAAGAACTTGTGAATATCGGCGGCGGCAGAAGCAGAGGTTACTATGTGTCGAAACATATTCCGCCCAAAGGCGCAAGAAATGAAAATGTATTGGGGGAGAATATGCAGCCTCTAATGCCCGGCACACGGCCGTAGAGAATGTGGTCACTCTCGCCCTCAGACGTAAGCGTAACCCCTGACATCGTCTTTATCCCCAGAAGATTATTGGTCATGCTGAAACCGATTCCTAACTACTCATTAACATTTGGAGAAGATGATTGTATAGCACGCCTTAATGGATAATAACAACGGAAAGGTCTCAAGAATCTTACAAACTAGAACGTGTCCCAATGAACAGGTGTCACAAATATTGATCCAGCCATTCTAGGCACTTGATTTCAGTTATACTAAACCTACATTGACCTCAACTGCAATGGATCCTTTATCTACTAATAGTTCTATCTCGTCTATCAGAGTTGCTGTCATCGGCGCAGGTATGATCGGTCCGCGCCACGCGCGGACAGTGGTGAGTGCAGGTCGGGACATACCGGCCGTGTTGACCGCCATCGTTGACCCGGCACCAGCGGGCAAGTCTCTCGCAAACGAGCTCGGCGTCCCATATTTTCGATCCGCGACCGACATGATGCAGTCTGGTGATGAAAGGAGCCTACCGGACGCAGCTATCATCTGTACTCCTAATCACACTCACGTATCGGTGGCCAAGGAGCTATCCTCGGCAGGCGTCCACGTTCTCATTGAGAAGCCCCTCAGCGCGGATATCACCAGTGGCCGAGAGCTTCTCGCACATCTCCACAGCCTATCTCAACACAGGGTGAAAGTGCTAGTAGGCCACCATCGCCGATTCAACCCATATATAGTCGCCGCAAAGCAAATCGTATCCTCGGGCCGTCTCGGGGCGCTCCTTGCCATCAACGGCCTCTGGACTATCTACAAACCAGCAGAATATTTCGCCCCACCTACCGAATGGCGTGCAAGTAAAGCGGGCGGCGTAGTTCTCATCAACATGGTCCACGAGGTAGACATCCTGCACTTCCTCTTCGGCCCCATCGCGCGGGTCCACGCCGAGAAAATAGCGCCTCGGCGCGGCCACGAGGCCGAAGAGGGCGCCGCCCTAACCTTCCGTTTCCGGTCCGGCCTCGTGGGCACGTTCCTGCTCTCAGACCACACCCCCTCGCCGTACAATTTCGAGTCCGGGACGGGCGAGAACCCGCTGATCCCGAAGACGGGCCGGGACTTTTATCGGATCTTTGGGACCGACGGGTCGCTCAGCGTGCCGGACATGACGATATGGTCGTACGGAGCAGGGGACTCCCCCGATAAGGGGATCTCGAACAAGGGCAGGTCGTGGCATTCGCCGCTACTGCAGGAGACTGTGCCGGTGGTGACAGAGAGTATCCCGTTTGTCCAGCAGCTGAAGCACTTTGCTCGGGTGATCCGCGGCGAGGAGGAGCCGAGCTGCACGGCGCAGGCTGGGCTCGCGGCGTTGATGGTGTGCCAGTCGATTCGCGATGCGCTAGAGGGGAATACAACGGTAGAGCTTGAAGAGTATGAGTTGTAAGAGGGACCAGGTAGTACGTAAGGTCTAGCACTTTTGAGAATCTGGCGATAATTAGGTGCCTATATAGGTACCAACCCCCCCCCCCCCCTTTTTTTTTTTTAACAACCTAAAAGGTTGACATTTCTGATGCGGTCTCAACGCCTAGTTAGGCAGGCATGGCATGATAATTGAGGATTGTCTCAGACTAACGAGGCCTACGTTGATCTGATATATCGGTGGCCAACATATGCACTCCTCTTTTCTTCCCTTGAAACAGAACGAACAAAGCTACTTTGGTGCAAGTAACAAGGATACAGGAATGCCTACTCACAGGTTCCACAAGAGGGTTTTTGTTGGAACAAGACGGTATGAAATCTACGCCATCTCATGTTGGATACTTCCTTCTGTACGCATATCCGGCTCTCTTGTGTCGGAACTGAAGACCAAAGATTTTTGTTTAGAACAATTTGAGTAATACTATATCATGAGTCTTGTTGAAGGCGAAAAGCAACGTTGCTTTCTGGTATTTCGGAGTTAAAATCACATTTATATATGGTTCCTTGATATATAAAGGGGTCACCTCCCCTACATAGTCGCGTGAACGATGAAATGTCCTTTGGCTACATCAAGAATCCCATACACTCGAGTCCGATTCACCTATGACATAGGGCAAGATGTACGCCGCCAAATATAGCACCCATCTTATAGCAACGCTCCAGGATATATGGTACCGGTTGGTGATCTGAGAATCGCATATCCTCAATCCCCAATGCCCACGTCCACTTATAAAGGTGAAAGGTAACGCTATAGTAGGTATACAAAACCCGGAAATAGGTATGAGTTCGGCCGGATCGTATTATTTCTAGCCGATCTCACCTCGAAGTCCGCGCGCTCCAGAAATATTGCGGCGCAGCAACAACACCTCATGCAAAGATCAGTGCCGTTTGTAACCTCACGGGCCAATTGTCCTGTCCCATCCCCCGCTTGATGCTTCACCACTGTCCATATACTGTAACGCAAACTTATACGTAGCACTGCATCAACAATTATGACCAAATCACGCAGACTCTATGCAGCATTATTCGGCTTCCGGATTCCTTCCTACGCATGTGGCCCTTTCTAAGATGACTCTGCAGATTCGCAGTTGGAGCAGATCGGCCAGGGTACTTTGAATACCAGTACCAGTAGCCATTTGTATAAAAGCTTTATGTTCCAAGTTAAACAATTTTGATATATAAGTAAATTATTAGAAGTGTACCTTTAAAAATACACTGGGTGGGTAATTTACAAATAATCCGTTGTTGTAAAGGTTTGGACTTGACTGCCGATCTACTGAATAGCATCCCATAAAAAAAGGGGGTTGCCATTCCCTATGACGAGAAGGATCTGACCGACCGTCCGACTATCCGACCATCCGACAATGCACACATTCAGAACTTTGGAACTGTTGTTCATTGGGTAATCTCTACAGAGAAGCCGAAGCAGTCACTATGCTGCTTGAAAATGCATTCATGACATCGTCCGTTTATACCATCGTCCGGTTGGGCGGCGGAGGGTAAGGGGCCGTGGCGGGCACTGTTTGGCCATGCTGCCATGTCCATCGGGCTATGTGCTTGCGTGTTCAGGAAGTTATCACAATATATAAATACCTGTCGACTCATTCTCACTAGATAGAACTTCCTAGCTGGCTTCCCAGGATCAGCAGTATCTACTACTAGCATAGTCTGAATAACACGACACAAGCGAAGAACTTAGGGTATGGCTTCACCATCGGTGCTGCCCTCACTGGGGCAAGACTGGAATTACCAGTCCCTCCTCCCTACCAAATCGACACCTTATTTCATCCTCACGCTTATGGTCATGATCGTTGCCTACGCTTGGCCGTCTTCTACAGACTCTACTGTCAAGAAACTGCCGCTGGTGAATCCTGGCAGTTTCTTTTCTACGAAGCAGGCCAAAGTATGTCCCCGCTATAATGCATTCCATAAGAAAAAGAAACCCCCCCCCAGAAAAAGGAAATAGGAATACTGACACGGGTTGGTGCAAAGCAAAAATATCGTCAATCCGCAAAGTCGATTCTGCAGAATGCCAGGAAGCAGTATGGGAGCCAGCCATTCCGAATGATCACGGATTCTGGAGAAATTGTGATCCTGCCCTCGGAATTCGTCGACGAGATTCGTAACGACGTGAGCAGTTCTCACCCTTCACGAGCTAAGGGAAACGGTGTTTGCTAATTCACTTTCCTATAGCCTAGACTTTCCTTCTCCAATGGCATTGAGCAGGTATGTAAGCCCAAATGCCTATCCAGCAATGGTGC